GTAATCTGGGTTGGTATCTGTGGTCATTTAAAACTGAGAAGAGCCAGATTCTTCTGGATTTCATAGTTTGCACTGAAAAGTCAGCTGTAATCCTGATGGGTTTTCCTTTATATGTGACTCGTTTTTCTTTTGCAGCTTTCAGTATTCTCTCTTTGTTCTGTATGTTTAGTGTTTTTAGTATAATGAGCCATGGAGAGTTTCTTTTCGGGTCCTGTCTATTTGGTGTTCTATGTGCTTCTTGTATTTGTATGGGCACATCTTTCTTTAATTTTGGGAAATTTTCTTCTATAATCCTGTTGAAGATCTGGTCCATGTCACATCCATACCATTATCTGGAGATTCTTCTTCCTGTATGCCTATGATTCACAAGTTTGGTCTTTTTATGGTATCACACAATTCCTGCATATTCCATTCTTGTGTTTTCTTAAATTTTTCATAATCTTTGTTTGAGTGGTCTAGTTCATCCACTTTATCTTCCAGTCTTGATATTCTGTTTTCCATTTCATTCATCCTATTGGTGAGGCTTTCTCCTGTCATTTCTAATTGGCTTACTGAATGTTTCACTTCCTTCTTCATTTCAACCTGAGTAGTCTTCAATATTTCTCAATCTTTTCTGAATTCGTTCAGAAGTTTAATCCCTATCTTCCTTCAGTTCTTTGATTTCTTTGTTTGTGTGTTCCTTAAATTCACTGAGTTCTTTTATCATGTTTACAATTTTTCTTTTGAGTTCCATGTCCTGCATTATCTCTAGGGGCTTCTCATTGTAATCCTCTAGAGGACTATTGGTATTTGGTAGGGATATGTTATTTTGGTTTTTCTTGTTATTATTTTTTCTCTGTGATTTTGACATGTGAATTTCTTTTGTAGTTTCTGACTCATGTGTGATACTCGGGCCTTCAAGTTTAGTTCTGCTTCTTTTTGTAAACTTTATGTGACTTTGTGGTTTACTTGTTGGGCATGAAAAGCTGGTTGGTCTAGGCTTCCAGTCTCTCTTTCAATTTTATGTTGGAGTGGCCAAATTGCTTTCCTCTTCAGGAGCTCCAACAGAGGCCCAAGCCAGATGAGGATCAGATACTCTCAGGCTTTCTCCTAAGGTCTGGATTCCTCCAGGAAACTGTTGTCCTCAGGAATTTGGGGGCTGGACTGGCCTGGGAGGAGGGTCCACGAAAATGCTGGTCTCAGGCAGCTGGTGGCCATCCCACCCAGAGAAGCAGAGGGAGGTGAGGGCAAGACCAGGCCCAGAGGGCTCTACTGGGTTGGTCTGGATGCACTGGATGCAAAGGATCAGGAAGCAGTAGTGGTTCCGGTCTGAGAGGTCAGCCCCTGTGTCTGAGGTGCCAAGACAAGAAATGGGCCAGTACCCAGGCTAGGAGGAGAGATGATGTGGGGGAGGTGGAAGGGTGAATGAGGCTGGGGGAGTCAAGGCACGGTGGGAACTGCTGGACTTACCCAGGAGAGAGGCTGATGGGTTGTGCAGCCCAGGGAAGTAGACAGAGGTGAGGGTGGGACCAGGCCCAGAGGGCTCTTGGGGACCGCAAGAAGGAACTGGATTGGTCTGGATGAAAAAGATCAGGAAGCAGTGATGGTTCTGGGCAGAGAGGTCAAACCTGGTGTCTGGGTTTCCAAGACAAGAAATGGGCCAGTATCCAGGCTAGGAAGAGAGATAAAGTGGGAGAGCTGGGAGTGTGAAAGAGGTTGGGGAAGTCAAGTTGTGGTGGACACTTCTGGACTTATCCAGGAAAGAGGCTGGCAGGTTGTGCAGCCCAGGGAAGCAGAGGGAGGTGAGAGTGGGACCAGGCCCAGAGTTGATATCAAATTTTGCCAGCACCATTTGTTGAAGATGCTGTCTTTCCAAACTTGTGTGTTCTTTGTCAAATATCAGGTGACTGAAATTGTGTGCACTCAGGTTTAGGTCTTCAATTATGTTCCATTGATCTCTGTGTCTATTTTTGTGCCAGTACCATGCTGTTTTTATGACTATAGTTCTATAATTCAGGTTGAAATCTCATGTAGTAATCCCCCCAGCATTGTTCTTTGTGCTCAGGGTTGCTTTGGCTATCTATGGTCTTTTACGCTTCCATATGAATTTAAGGATGGCCTTTTCTAATTCTGTGAAGTATGTCATGGGGGTTTGATTGGGATTTCATTGAATCCATATATTGCTTTTGGTAGGATGATCATTTTCACAATATTAATTCTTCCAATCTATGAGCATTGGAGGTCCTTCCATCTTCTGGTGTCTTCTTCAATCTCTTTCTTTAGAGATTTAAATTTTTCATTGATGTCTTTGGTCAGATTTATTCCAAGATTATTTCTTTGAGGCTATAATGAATGGGAGAGTTTTCCTGTACTCTTTCTCTGATTGCTTGTTATTGGTATATAGAAAGGCTACTGATTTTTGTAGATTGATTTTGTAATCTTCCAGTTTACTGAAAGTGTCAACATTTTCTGCAATGGCTACTTTGAAATATTTTTGCTAATGATGACTTCTGCTCTCTCACAGGTTTCTATTGCTTGCTATTCTGGCAAATGAGTCATATTTTCCTGTTTCTTCCCAAACCTTCATTCTTTATTGATCAATTCTAGTACCAAAGTATCTAATCAGGAGGCTACGGAGATGACTAAGTGGGTAAGAGCACTTGCTACACAAGTATAAGGACCTGAGTTCAAGCCCCAGCACTGCTTCAAAACCTGTGTGTGACTTGTGTGTGACTGTGTGTATGCCTGTAAGTCCAGCACTGTGAGGAGGGGATAAAATAGGAGGGTGGCTGAGGTTTGCTGACTACCAGCTTAACTCCAGGTTCAGTGAGAGACCCTGTCTCAAGGGAATAAGTTGGAGAGTGATAAAGCAGCACACCCAACTCCTTCCTCTGGCCTACACAGAGAGAAAGGAGAGAGGAGAGAAGATGGGGGAGGGAAGGGGTAGGTAGAAAAAGGGAGGGCAGAAGAGGGAAGAGAAAATAATCAAATTTCTTTGAAGGAATATTTTCTGAGGTCTTTGGTAAATATTTAGACCTTGAGGATTCCTCCCAGCTCCTTATGTGTACTTGTTTGTTTTAATAAGGGGTATTGGTGTGTAGCCCAGATTGGCCTTGAGCTCTGGATCATCTTGCCTCAGCCTGCATAGTGCTGGGATTACAGGTGTAAACTACCAGGCCAGGCATACCACATTCATAAAAATATTCCAGGTTTAGTTCAGCAACATTTGGCTTGTGCTGTCTGTCACTCTCTGAGTAAGGGCAACATCTTTCTAGTCCCAAGAAAATATCCCTAATCCTGAACTGAAGCACCAGCGGGCCTTTCTTTAGCTCACCTCATTTCTCCCTCTGTTTACATTTTTACTTCTCATCTGCAGACTTTTGCTTGCTCATCTGTGAGTCAGAGAGGAGAAAGCTACAGGCTTCTGGATTTCCATGGGCAGGACAGTCACAAAGGATGGTCTGTCAGGCCCTAGTTTCCATTCTTGTTTCTGAGTCCACAAAGTAATTTCCATGGGGAGGGGGTGCAAACGGGCTCTTGAAGAGACACCCCTGAAGGTCTATAGATTATGTGGCCACTCCTGAGGGTCTGTAGATTAGGTGGCCATTGCAGAAATGGGTCCTCCATTCTGAGCTGAGAAGACATCCCAAGGGAAGTCTAGTCTGAGCATTGAGCAAAGCCTCAGTCATGGCTTTAGTGTAAGGCTGCCTGTCCCCTAGTCCTCCCAGCCTAGTTTCCCCATGCTGCTCCCTATCTACAAATGGGCCAGAAACCCTATGCAGTTGATAACTAGGTATGAAAAGAAAGGGGAGGCTCACTGTTGCAACATCCTGTTTCTACACTAGAAGAAAAGTCTTGATAACTGACCCTTCAACCTATAGATCAGCAAGATGATGAAATCTGAGGATCAGGAAATTTTCTCTGGGACTTATTGCTACCCAATTTTTGATGCAGGAGTAAGATGACTTACTGTGTCATTATTGTTGCTCCACAGGGAAAAGGAAGTAAGTGGGTTCTTTTTCTTGACTCTAATGAGACAATCAGGGAATCTATTCCCAGTGGCAAAGAATGCTACTTTAACTACATCTGATTACCCCAAATGTCCTTCTGCTCAGAGGACTAGGGCTATGAATGCCCACAGTTCACCTAGGTTTCTGAAATTTCCAGTCCCAGTTACTTGAACATAAAAGACAGCATCAACCGGACTGGGTATTTCTTTCTAATATTTTATTTATTATTTTATGTTATGTGTATGAGTGTATTGCCTGCACCTGGGTCATGCAATGCCCGAGGAGATCCCATGGAACTGGAGTTAGGAACAGTATTAGCCACCATGTAACTGCTGGGAATTGAACCTGGGTCCTCTACAAGAGAAGCCAGGGCTCTTAACCACATGTCTACCATCTCTCCAGCCTCTGACCAGGTATTTCTTAACAGTGGGGATACTAAAGAATTTTTGGAGACAGGGTCTCATGTAGTATCAGCTCTACCAGAATTCACTATGGAGCTGAGGCTGGCCTTAAATTCCTGATCCTCCTGCTTCCACCTCTCAAGTGATGAGATAACAGGCTAGTGTTACCACATCTGCTTGATATGCCAGAATTGCCTTACTAACACATGATGCTCTTTGAGGAACCCCCTTTTCTAACTCTATAACATTTGGGGAGCTGTAGCATCATGAGTCTATCAGTCAGACCTGATATCAACAGTTTCTCTTGTTCCCATCAGGTGATTAAAAATGGGAGAAAGACTGCAAATGCTGAGACCAGCATGATCGTGGAGAAATGCCCTGTATGCTAGCCTGAGGTTTTTGGTTGTAATTGATAAAGTTGCAAGGATGAATCCAGTGGGACTTCACCATCCAGGACTGGAGAGAGAAGCTGGCATGGATTGTAATTCAGAGATTCCATTACCATGACTGTATCTGTAGCATGGCTTGTTGGTTTCAAACCCTTTGGTTCTACCTTGCTGACCTAACCTCTGTTGCTCTTGTCTATAACTGAGCTCAGATATATGATAGCATGAACCAGTTGCTTGTCTCCAAGTTCCTCCTCCTGGGACTCTCCAGGCAGCCCCAGCAGCAGCAGCCCCTCTTCCTGCTCTTCCTCTTCATGTACCTGGCCACCGTCCTGAGGAACTTGCTCATCATCCTGGCCATCGGCACTGAGTCCCGCCTGCACACCCCCATGTACTTCCTCTGTAACCTGTCCTTTGTGGATGTCTGCTTCTCCTCCACCACTGTCCCCAAGGTGCTGGCCAACCACATACTCAGGAGTCAAGCTATCTCCTTCTTTGGGTGTCTCACCCAGCTGTATTTTCTCTGTGTATTTGCTGACATGGACAATTTCCTTCTGGCTGTGATGGCCTATGACCGCTTTGTGGCCATATGCCACCCCTTATACTACACAACGAAGATGACCTGTCAGCTCTGTATTGGTCTGGTCACTGGCTTATGGGTCATTGCCAACCTGAATGGTCTTTTGTACACTCTGATTACAGCTAGACTCTCATTCTGTGCAGACAATGCCATCCCCCACTTCTTCTGTGATGTGATTCCCCTCCTGAAACTCTCCTGCTCAGACACACACCTCAACGAGATGATGATTCTTAGTGAGGGGGCCCTGATCATGGTCACCCTATTTGTCTGCATCCTGGCCTCCTACATTCAGATCACCTGTGCTGTCCTGAGAGCCCCATCCACAAGGGGAAGATGGAAAGCCTTCTCCACCTGTGGCTCCCACCTGGCTGTGGTCTGCCTCTTCTATGGCACCATCATATCTCTGTATTTCAACTCCTCATCCTCTCACTCCTCTGGGAAGGACATGGCAGCTGCTGTGATGTACACAGTGGTGACCCCCATGCTGAACCCTTTCATCTACAGCCTGAGGAACAAGGACATAAAAGGGGCTCTAAGAAAAGTGGTTACTAGAAAATCTTTATCTACTCAGTAACTACAAGAGCTAAGAAAATCATAAATGAAACTAATTTCTATAAATATTCTTCTTCCCATGTGAAATATTGTATTTAAGAAAAATACCTAATTTCTATTTTTGGAGAACAAAACTCATGAGAAATTCTATAGGTTAGAATAGATAAGGGATAGTGGGATGTGGTGGTACAAGCCTTTAATCCCAGCATCAGAAGGCAGAGGCAGGGAAGGATCTTTATGAGATCAAAGCCAGCTTGGTCAAATTTCATGCCAGCTGGGGCTATATGGAGACCCTATCTAAAAAACAAAACAAAAATAGAAAAGTGGTAGAGTGCTTGCCTGCATGTAAGGGGCCCTAGGTTCAATTATCAGAGCGAAAAAAGTGAAAAACGAAAACTTTAATGGACTGACTTTACTTGTTAGTGTCCTCCTGACAAAAAAAAACCATGAATTTGAGTGAGAAATGTTGTATGAAAATTTTAAAGCTCAATTTTAATAATTTTGTTTTAAAAAAACACCATGAACATGCTTACACTGAGACAGTGCACACCTTTGGGGGAACAGTGAGGTGTCTCAGCATAAGGCTGCTAAAAGTGACTTAAGATCTGTGCTTGGGTGTGGTGATGTTGGAGAGAAGTTGGAAAATTGTTATTGCTCTAATAGGATGCAGTTACAAAGTCTGGGGAATTTTGATTGGTTATATTAAAGTATTTCATGTAGAAGGAAGGACTAGGTGGAGACTGAGCTCTGATTGTCCAAGAATCCTTGTCCCTTTATATTAGCCAGCTCCAGAGGGGAGAATGTGGTCATTTTTATGGCTAGAACAATATTCCTGTTTTTATACTCAGATGGAATAACAGAATGGAATTTTGTGTCTTGTGCTAGCACAGTAACGCAGACCTTATTTGCTACTGATGCTCTGTGAAATTCTCTTGTGTTCATCACGACAACATCAGCACCTATCTGTGTCAAGATAGCTGCCAGATATCAAGGCTCATCACCCTTGAGAAAGCTGACCCAGACATGAACATAGTTTATGGGAAGGCTGTATTCTCAATGGGGCCAGTAGAGAAGGGTTCACTTCCAAAAACTCTAATTCTGCTCCCTGTTTAAGCTAATCTTTTTATCTTCTCATCTGAGCTTTATGTAGCATATAACATTAAAGCAGGAAAATGGTTAATTAAAAGTGAAGTGCCGCCAGGCATGTGGAACACACCTTTAATCTCAGCACTTGGGAGGCAGAGGCAGGAGAATCTCTGTAAGATTGAGTCCAGCCTGGCCTACATAGTGAGTTCCAGGCCAGCTGGAGCTATAGGGAGATCCTGTCTCAAAAAAAAAATTAAAGCAAAATATTTTCTATAATCTCACTATCTAGACATGTGAGTAAAATAAATATTTTGCCCCCTTTTGTTCCATTTAAGTAAATGCACTGATATTTTTACTTAAATGTTAATCTATGTTAAGCTTTCAACTGTTATTTTACAAGAAAGGTTTTCTAAATTACTGCATATCTATAAATTCATTTTTACTGATGTATGCATTTCCACTCCCTAGTTTTTTGTGTTTTTTTTGGTATATTTGAGACAGGGTCTCCCTGTAGCCCCAGCTGGCCTGGAACTTGCTTTGTAGACCAGGCTGGTCTCAATCTCACAGAGAACCACCTGCCCCTGCCTCACAAGTGCTGGGATTAAAGGTGTACACCACCACATCTGGTCACTCCCTAGTAATTCTATTTCTTAACTAAAACATCACAGAAACATACAGTATACTTTGAAATTTATTTTGAAAATGACAAATAAGCCTGGCATGGTGGCACAAGCCTATAATGCCAGCCTCCAAGGGCTGAGGCAAGATCACAAGTTCATTGCCATCCTGGGCTACATCGTGGGTTCCAGGTCATCCTTGACTCCAGTTCGAGAGCCTGTCTTAACAAACAAAAGAAAAAAAAATGAATTAGAGAATATATCAGACTACTTTCTCCTCGTCTTTGACTTTCAGCATTTTTACCATGACATGTAAGTTCTGGTGTTTGTGCCAGTTGTAATGATTGAGCTTCCTGTACATACACACAGTTGTTTTTTTGAACAAATTTAAAAAGTTTCCAGCCACTAATTCTTCAAAGGGTCTTTCCTTCCCTTTCCCTTCTCTTTAGAATTACTATTATGTAAATTGGATGCATTTAACGCTGTCTACTTTTGACCCTCTGTTCATTTTCTTCATTTTCCCCCAGTTCTTCAGCTTCCACAATCTGTATAGGACTACTTTTCAGCTTGCTAATTCTTTCACATCAGTAGACCCCCTTTAATGAACTGTATACTTAACTCTTTACTTCTCAGCTCCTGAGGTTTACTTGGCCATTCTCCGGGATCCCGTCGTCTTATTCTCCATCTATTGCAGCATTGTTGTCATGTGCTCATTTACATCTTTAACTGTTTCTCTCCATTTGTCAACATATTTGAAATGTTTCCTTCAAAATATTTTGTTAGAGATGCCTTCTCTTTCTCATAGTCAGTTTCTATTGCCCTCAGTTTGGTATAAGGGTCATTATTCTCTTTCCTTGCATACTTCCACTTTTTATGTTGGAATGTGGACAGTTTTGAAATATGGCTGACAACCATCTGTAACTGCAGTTTCAGGGGATCCAACACCCTCTTCTGACCTCCACAGGCATTTATGACATGGGTGCACTTACATACATGCATGCATAACACTCATACACATAAAATAGAAATAATAAATACATTAAAAATTATTTTCTAATAGGACCTTGGGCTGTCTTTCACTATTCACTCAGGAGGTCTAGATATTTTGATAATCATTGAATAAAACATTACTTTTTGTGTGTATACTCTTTTGCATGTGTGTATATGTGGGGTATGCATGCATGTATGTATGCATGCATGTTCATGTGTGTTCATATGGGATGTGTGTATGCATGCAAAAGGAGACCAGAGGTTGATGCTAGGTATCTTCTTCAATCTCTCTCCAACTTCTCTATTGAGGCAGGGTCATTTACTGAATCCAGAGCTCACTGCTAGTGATTAGCCACCTTGTCACAGGTATCCCCTTTCTCTGTATCCTGCACTGAGATTGCAGATTGATTCCCACACCCACCTAGCATACATGTGAGTACTGAGAATCTGAATTCTAGTCCTCAGCCTGAACTTTACCTACTGAATCATCTTTCCAACACCCAAAAGTAGTGATTTTTATCTAAAATTTTTATTGTGGAAAATTTCAAATATATGCAAGAGCAGGCAGCATAGATATACTAATCACGTAGATGAAAGAATTAACTGTCAGTATTATTTCTTCTATGCCCTTGAACTCTTTCTTCTTCTATTTTACTGTTGTTACTATTATTTTTATTGTTTTCTGTGGGACGTACCTCATGGTGTGGTCCAGATAAGATAGCCATTTTCTTTTTATTTTCCTGTTTCTGTTTCTATGAGATAGGGTCTTGGTATGATGCTCAGGCTAGCCTGGAACTTGGCAACATTACTCCTGCCTCTGACTGCAATGTGTCTAGATTACAGGGGTGAGCCACCACACCCAGATCATCAGTTTCATAAACTGTTTTCCAGGATCAGCTCAGAAAGACTCAGCTTCTACTGTTTGACACTAAGTACAGTGAGTGATGACATCTATTTAGTCATTAGAAAATACTCTGAACTAACAGCATTAGGACTTTCTCCAGCTCACCTTTATACTTTTCCTGTGTGTTTATGTGATTTTGCCCTCATCTACAAACTTTAACTTGTTCATCTGAGTGAATCAGGAGAAAGTTGCAAGCTTCTGCGGTTATATTGATAGAACAAGGCCCACTGAGGATGAGCCGAAAGTCCTCAGTCCCTGTACTAGGTTTCCGAGTTAAATCATGAATTTTCCCTGGGAAAGGAGGGGAGAGTATGAATGAGGTTGTTGAAGACACACTTTTAATAGTGTATAGATTTTAAGAAATTGGTGCTCCATTGTGAGCTGGGAAGATATCCCATAGGATGTCCACTCTCTGAGCTTGGAGCTCATCAGACATGGGAGGTTACACACTCTTCCAACCCCCTCTTCCCTCATTGTACATTACACCAAATGCTTTAAGGGACCAAGCCCAGCAGTGCAATGCCATTTATTCCCTTCTGCATATCCAGCATCCTCTATCTGCAAATGTGCCACATACTCAATGCAGGAAATGGCCCTGTGTCAAGAAAGGGGAAGACATTGACTCAGGTAGTGTATTATCCTAAGTTTCTATGCAAAGAAAGTAAGAAGAAAAATCAGAACTAACTCTTCAAATCACCAAGGTGGTGAAACTCTCAAGGAATTTTCTCTGGGACTAGTCTCCACCCAGATTGCTTTATCCCAAAGTGTTGACCCAGCACTTAGATGATATACTTTGTCATCATGGTGGGCTCACGGGGATAAGTAAATAGGTGGGACAATTACTGTCTGCCTGTCTCTAATGAGATGCTCAGGGAGTCTAGACCCACCGGGAATGGATGCTGCAGTAAATACCTGTTTGATTCTCCAAAATATCCTTCCTGCACAGTGGGATAAGGCTGTGATCATATACTGTTCACTTGCTCAGAACCCTCTGAATATTCTGAGACTTTCCAAGCCTTAGAATAAAGAACACCTTTGCCCAGTAATTCCAAGGTGAAGAACAGATGAAAGTAATAGCATGATCTGTCCAGGTACTTTAATAACCATGGAGATGACACTATGTTGTTGTAACAAGTGATGCTCACTCTTCCCCATCCAGGGAGCAGCAGCAAGAGTCATGAGTCTATCAACTGGAACTTGAGACCAGAATAACAACAATCAGCTGTTTCTCTTGTTCTTCTGATGCTAAGGAGTGGGGAGAAGACTGGGAATGTGAACAGAGCTCAACATGGTGGCAGGGAAGGGCTATGTGTGTATGTGAATGTTTTCACATTATATTCAGTACAGCTGAAAGGATGAACCTGTGGGACCAGGACCACCTAGGACGGGGACTTGTAAACTAAGAGTGTAGGAAATAGAAACAAATCCTTAATATGACCTTGTCTGTAGCAGGATTTGTTACATCCAGACAATGGCTCCTACATTTCTGACCTCTGCCTGTTTTCTCTGAGCTTAGAAATATGAGAGGCACCAACCAATCCCTTGTTTCTGAGTTCCTCCTCCTGGGACTCTCCAGGCAGCCCCAGCAGCAGCAGCCCCTCTTCCTGCTCTTCCTCATCATGTACCTGGCCACCATCCTGGGAAACCTGCTCATCATCCTGGCCATTGGCACTGACTCCCGCCTGCACACCCCCATGTACTTCTTCCTCTGCAACCTGTCCTTTGTGGATGTCTGCTTCTCCTCCACCACTGTCCCCAAGGTGCTGGCCATTCATGTACTTGGGAGTCATTCTATCTCCTTTTCTGAGTGCTTTACCCAAATTTATTTTCTCTGTGTGTTTGCTGTCATGGACAATTTCCTCCTGGCTGTAATGGCCTATGACCGTTTTGTGGCCATATGCCATCCCTTATATTACACAACAAAGATAACTCATAAGCTCTGTGCCCTGCTGGTGGCTGGGTCATGGGTCATTGCCAGCCTAAATGCTCTACTGCATACCCTACTCATGGCTCGACTCTCATTCTGTGCAGACAATGTCATCCCCCACTTCTTCTGTGATATGACTCCTCTCCTGAAACTCTCTTGCTCAGACACACATCTTAATGAGTTGATGATTCTTTTTGTAGCAGGAATGCTAATGATAGCCCCATTTATTTGCATCCTGGTGTCATATATCCTTATTGCTTGTGCTATCTTGAGAGTTTCATCCACAAGTGGAAGATGGAAAGCCTTCTCCACCTGCAGCTCCCACCTGGCTGTGGTCTGCCTCTTCTATGGCACCATCATATCTCTGTATTTCAACCCCTCATCTTCTTACTCTGCTGGGAAGGATACGGCATCGGCTGTGATGTACACAGTGGTGACCCCCATGCTGAATCCTTTCATCTACAGTCTGAGGAACAAGGACATGAAAGGGGCTCTAAAGAAAGTGCTTACCATGAAATTTTCATCAACTCAAGAATGATTAAGTGCTAAGAAAATCATCATGGAAATTTATTTCCAAGAAAGTCCTTTTTGTTTTTCCTGCTGTGTGAAACTTCATATTTTGTCTTTTGTTAGAAATTCATCTACTATGTCTTTTAGGAGAACAAAATCCATGTTATAGACTCAGTAGGTGAAACATGGAAAGAAGCTTGGGATGTAGCTCAATTACAGAGTGCTTACCTGGCATGTACAGCACCCTAGGTTCGATTCCTAGTACTGCCAAAATAAAGATAAAAATTATTTAGATCAAATTACTTCAATCCAATTGTCAGCACCCTCCTGATAAAACCCACCAGAAGCATACCTGCACATATTATCCTTACACGAGGGGAGAATGCACAGCTTTGGGGAGCAGTGAGGCCCCTCATTAGGACTCTGCTAAAAAGAACTAAAGCCTGAGCTTGTGTGGCATGATATTGGAGAAGAATTAGGAAGTGACTCTTGCTCTGGATGGGATGGTGTTAGGATCATTTTGATTGTGTATCTTAATATAGTTCATCAAGAAAGAAAGAATAGATGGAGACTGAGCTCTAACTGGCCAAGCAGCACCCACTCATGTCAGCCATCACCCTGGGGTAGAGGGTATGGGGTCATTTTTGTGCCTAGGACAACATTCATGTTTATGTTCTTGGAGAAAGTTTTACGTCTTGCACTATCACAGTCACAGAGATCTTTTTTGCTACTGATGTTCTGTGAAATTCTTTATGTTTATTAGAACTCCAAGCTGTGTCAGGCCAGTTCCTGATCGGTGCCTGCATCCTTTGCTACAACAGAGTCCTTGTTATGAGCACATTTACTGGGAAGTTCCAACTTAGTAGGGCAAGAGGGAATGAATTTTTTCAGAGCTTCAGGAAACTCAATTCTGCCACTGGTTTTTTAAAAAATATATTTTATTTATTTTTTGTGTATGCGTGTATTGCCTGCATGTATGTAAGTGCACCTATGTCATACAATACTCATGGAAATCAGAAGAGGGTGTCCCTTGGAACTGGAGTTATGGACAATTGTTAGCCACCATGTGGGTACTGGGACTTGAACCTGGATCCTCTGCAAGAGAAGCCAGTGCTCTTAACTCCTGAGCTATCTCTTTAGTTCCCTGCCACTGTTTTTAAAACGCATCAGAGTATTTTGTAGCACACATTATGCAGGAAAATAGAGAGTTACATAATTTTTATTCCATTGATTTATTATTGATTTGCGGGCGTGTGTGTGTGTGTGTGTGTGTGTGTGTGTGTGTGTGTACAGGTGAGTGCCATGGAGCACATGTGGAGATCAGAGAACCATTTGTAGAAAGGGTTTTTCTTCTTCACCCATACCCTGGGGATCAAAGTTAGGTTGCCAGGCTCTGCGACAAGCTCCTTTACCCACTGAGCCACAGTACAGCCCTTAGATAGTTAAATAAAACAAAATATAACCTAATTGTCAGTGTCCAGCTATCTATCCAGTCAACTGTATCTTTATTCCCCTTCTGTTCTATTTATGCCAACATATGCAGATATTATTACTTAGACATTCCTTTATATTCTGGCCTTTCAAGAGAAGCACACATTGCAGCAGGAAAATAGAGTTGCATAATTTTTATCCCATTGATTTATTATTAACTGATTTGTGTGTGTTTATTACAAAACTTATCTAAATTATGGAAGTCTCTACAATTTTATTTTTACTGATCTTCTGTTTCCAAATTAAAACACATTGAAATTTACTATTTAGCAGTATGTTTTGAGTTTTTGAAAATAACTGTAGAAAATAGTTGTCCAACATATGAAATTATTTTCTCCATGTCTTTGACTTTCAACATTTTTACTATGACATGTAACATGTGAGTCTCTTTGTGTTTATACTAGTTGAAGTTGACTGAGCTTCATACACACAGAGAGAGAGAGAGAGAGAGAGAGAGAGAGAGAGAGAGATTTTTCTCATCATGCAGCCCTAGCTAGCCTGGAACTTGCTATGTAGACCAGGCAGACCTCAAAAGTAAAATTTTAATACCAAGTGGTAGGATTAAAAGTGTGCAATTTAAATTTTTTATTTATTATTTTTATTTTATGTGTGTGAGTATGTGTGTAAGTACACCTGTGTCATGCAATGCGCACGGAAGTCAGAAGAAGGCGTCAGATCCCCCTGGAACTGGGGCTACAGATGGTTGTTAACTACCATGTGGGAATCGAACCCTGGTCCTCTGCAAGAGCAGTCAGTGCCCTTAACCACTGAGCTATCTCTCCAGCCCATAAAATACATATATTATTTTTTAAGAGCCATTATTTCTTCAACTAGATTTTCCTCTTCTTTCCTTTTAAAATGTATCATCTATGGAGGCCAAAATGTCTCAGCAGTTAAGAGCATTGGCTGCTCTTGCAGAGGACCTGGGTTCAATTTCCAGCACTCACATAGTGGCTAACAATCATCTGTAACTCCAGTTCTAGGGAATCTGACACCCTCTCCTGGCTTTCACAGGCATTTCATGACACAGGTGTACTTACATACATGTAGGTAAAACACTCATACACATAAAATAAAAATAATAAAATATAAAAATGTATAAATAAACCTTTTCGTTCTTCATGGTCTCTAAAATTACATTTATTTATCTATCTATCTATCTATCTATCTATCTATCTATCTATCTACTTATTGTCTGTGGTGGGGTCTCATGCCATATCAAGCTGATGGAAGTCAGAGGACAACTTGCAGGAGTCAGTTCTCTTCTTCTATCATGTGGGTCCTAGAGAATCAAAGTCAGGTCATCAAGCTTGGTGGCAAGTGTCTTTACCAACTGAGCCTAGTCACTGGACCCTCTTCATGTTTTTTTAAGTTCCTCAACTTGCCATTTTATCTTCAATGTTGGTAATTCTTTCTTCTACCAGTTCAAATCAGTTGCATTCCCTAAATAAACGTTTATTTTAATTATATACTTTGCAGAATTTCCATTTGGCTTTTTTCCCCATAGTTTCTTTTTGTTTTTTTTTTTTTGGTCTCATGTAGTCCAGGTTTGCCTCAAACTTCCTTTGTAGTCAAAGATGACCTTGAACTCCTGATTCTCCTGCCTCTACCTTCCAAGTGCTGGGATTACAAGTAGGTGCCACCATGCCAAGGTCCTTTTTCCGTATTTTCTATCACCTTATTCCCTATTCGATGCAGCATTGCCAGCATACTTTCATTTACTTCTTTAATAATTCTGTCCATTAGGTCTGTGAACATTTTTACAATAGTAGTTTGAAATATTTTTGTTGATGAATTCTTGACCACTGTTTGCCGTTCAGGTGTATGGGTCATAATTTCCTGCTTCTTTGTATGTTTTCCACTTTTTTGTTGTTGGAAAGTGGACAGTTTGGAAAATAAACTGCAGCATCTCTGGGAACTGGTCCCTCTTACTTTTGTGCATGTTATTACCTGCTTGTTTTTTAAAAATTATTTATGGGCATGCTATTGTATGAAACCCACCCCCCATCCATGATCCCCAACACCGCTAAGCCTCTGATGTACTCATGGAGTACCGCTTTGGGTATGCCTATAGTCGCCCAAGGATGACCTTGAAGTTGGTGAAACTCTCTTCTCCTTTGTTGAACACACTAGCTGTTAAACTCCAGTAATTTCCCCTGGGATAATCAGTCTTTATTATGATAGAGCATAAATTCTTCTACTAAAGAATTTTACAAGGTGCTGTAAAAATGGCTCAGTGGGGGGCTGGAGAGATGGCTCAGTTGTTAAGAGCACTCACTGCTCTTGCAGAGGACCCAAGTACGAGGCCCAGCACCCACATGGCAGCTATGAACTGTCCTAAACTCCAGTTCCAGGGGAATCCGAAGCCTTCTTCTGACCTCTACAGCATTGCATGACACGGGTGTACTCACATACATGGAGGCAATACACTCATACACATAAAATAAAAAATAATAAAATATTTTTTAAAAAATGGCTCAGTGGTTAAGAGTGCTTACTTGTTTTACAGAGGACCCAAGTTTAGTTCCCAGCACCAATGTGTGAACTGTAATTCCATCTCGAGGGGATCTGATGCCTTCTTCTAAGGACATCCACACACACATAAATAAAAATAATTATTTTACTATTTTTTTCAATTTTTAAAATATTTTAAAATAAATATGTAAGTGCACCTGTGTTGTGCAATGCCCATAAATGTCAGAAGAGGGAGTCAGATCCCCTGGATCTGGAGTTAGGATGGTTATTAGCTGCCATGGGGGGTCCTGGGAATCAAACCCAGGTCCTCTGCAAGAGCAGTCAGTACTCTTAACTGCTGAGCCAACTCTCCAGGCCAATTATTTTATTATTATTTTTATTTTTGTTTAATATTTTTATGTCTAAGACTGTATTGCCTGAAGGTAAGTGCACCTGTGTCATGAAATGCCTGTGGAGATCAGAAGAAGGTATCATATCCCCTGGAACTGGAGTTATGGATGGTTGTTAGCTGCCATGTGGGTGCTGGGAACCAAACCCAGGTCATCTGCAAAGGCAATCAGTCCTCTTAACTGCTGAGCCATCTCTTCAGCCCCAAAATAATTATTTTTAAAAGTGTAAAATAAAATAATTTAATAGAATAGTAACTCCTCTTTTAAGATATTTATTTTTTTGTTTTTTTTTTAATAAAATATATTTTTTTAATTAGAAGAA